ATATATATATATATATAACATTTTTTTCCGAACTTTTATTTGCCGTGACATTTTCCATTGATTGTCATATCTCTTTAATCATTATGAAGTGCCAAATAACGTATTTAATAATTGTATAAGCTTTATCTCTATGTGTACGACATACAAATACTTGTATCTATATAATTTATAATAAAATACATAAATGTGAGTATCTTCTATTGTCTTCTCTTTAAATTTTTTTGAGTGAAATCTACTTCAAACGAAAGGAATCTCATTCCAAAGAATTGAGAGTGTACCGACATTTTTTTAAATCAATGATTCTATAGATTCCAAACCGAACTTTGTGAAAAAGATAATGATATATATAACTATATAGCTTCCCCGGCCTTTATTTCATCACAGTCATAATTTTTATGGAAAAAGATTGGATAAATTTCATAATCCAATCTCTGCTTTGTAGAATCCCTAAAGAAATCTTTTTAAAAAAAGAAGGAACATACGCCAAGTGCATAAAAGTACATTCTTCTTAATCAAAAACGGATATGAAATAAAAGTAATTAGACGATTAATTCATTACGCAAGACACATAAGACTGAAAATGACTAAAATTGTCAATATATTGATATAAAATTGTCAACGGATTGTAGTAAAGAAGATACTTGGCGTACTCGGGTCGCATTAAAACGCAATATTGTAGGACCAATACGTTTTCATAATACAGAAATTGTTTGCAATATGAATTAATAAAAAGGTTATTATACGTACCATACAATATTCTGCAGATATACGCATAGATGAAAACAATAATTCAACAAAGAAAAGACGTCAATAATTGCTTACTAATCTTGTAAATTCGTTATTTATAATGTTTCTCTATTTAAATATTATCTATATTATTACATATTATTCGTCCATAATTTTACGTCTATTATTGTGAGTATATTATCATGCCCCACAAATTATGTCACTATATATTATAATTTATACCGTAATTACTGTGTTGAAATAAAATATTCAAAGAAGTATAATTAATGCTATCCAGGCACGCTAAGTTTTTTCTTCACTATATTCCATTTACAATATTCGTCGTCGTCCGTCGTCGTTCGGACACGTCCCTCCTCACCCTCTCATCATCTCACTCACTCACACATACTCTCTCTCTCTCTCTCTCTCTCTCTCTCTCTCTCTCTCTCTCTCTCTCTGTCTCTCGCGCGTGCTTACGTCCTCTCCTTATTGTTTGCCTGTTTCATGAACATAAATTATATCCATATGCGCGTTAAGGTTCAATTTTGTTGCTAATTTTATTTTAATCGTCGACTCTTTCTTTTAGAGCTAGAGTGCTGCACTTAGACTATTCTCGTATGTATGCACGCAGAGCTGGGTGATGGGGAGAGGAGGTTATTACTTTATTCAACCGTCTCGCCCGTCGGGGTAATTTAATTTTTGCGATCAGTATACAAATCGTGATCCTCAATAACATCATTGAGGCTGATAAATCAATGTATATGTGCAATTATACATATAACATTTGCAATATAATGAAGCAAAATGGGGATTGTAACTTCGCACCATAATTCAATCTTCAGTAACTTCTCCGTTCCTTAAAGAATTCATCTCTGTATTTCCAAATACTATAGTACATATAAAAGCGACATAAAAATAGCACAATCGTTATATGTAATATAATACATAGAAATACAGAGATAAAAGTTTCTTCTTTTTGATATCAATCTGCGTAATTTTATTGTTTATTAATTATTTTAAAGTTTCTTATAAAATAGAATCTAAAAAGATAATTTTTACAAACTTTACTTGTATATTATTTTGTTAAATTAAAAGGTTTTGATAAATCTTTCTGCAAATCTTTCTTGCTTTGGTGCGTAGTTTTCCCTATTGTTGCGATCTTATCCTATTCATTATGCGTGCATCTCAATTATTTTATTCTCGCTCAGCTCCTCGAATATGATCTCTCGCGATTGTGATCAATGTTTGTTCTCGATTTCATTACAAAATCGTCACTTTTCTGCGATGATGTACTAATCTAAAATAATTAGTCACAAGATCTTGACTAAACGTATAATTGATCCTACGTTTTACTGGGAAATTAGTTGACCAATTGTTCATTAACTGGCAATAATTTATTTATTTTAAAAAAGATAATTAAAAATAAACATTTGATGGCGACTTCGAATTCCCAGAAATCAGACGTTGTCTATCAATGATAGCTTAGGCGTTTCTTATCGTACGAATTACATGTTTCTTCCTATTCCAGCTTGTCGTAATTTAAAAAAAAATACAACGACAGTTTCACGCCATCGGTGTACCATATTATAAATTAATATTAAAAAATACGAAATGATAAACGGAATGGGCAATACGACTGTCACAAGGATATCTAATTAATTCTGCGTGTGACACGGAAATAATAAATGAATAATAAAATATTCACACATTATATGTTAATTCTGTTATTCGTTGCTTCGTTGATTACGTCCTTCTTCTTCTCCTTATACATACATATAACACATATCAATGGCTGTTTTCTTGATCCTGCTTTAACTGTAAAACAGAAAAGTACTCGATACTGGTCATCGATAATATTATAATCTCTTTTGTATTTCCTCAAAGAACGTGGTATTACAATAGATTTTGTAGTAAAGCAGTGATTTTTATATTATTTTCGGCTAAACCAGTAAAAACGTTTCGCCGAAAAATATTCTTAAAATTCCAAAAAAACATTCCAAGAATACTCCAAAATATTCCTAACATTGACGGTAAAAGAAACACTCAAATGTCGGTTAAAAATTTCATTTGTATATCGTTACATATTCCAAGAATGTTCCATATGTATTCCATATATATTTCCCAAAATTTTCATTTTTCCAAAAATTCCAGGTCGAGTCGTCCATTAATCAGTTTATAAACAAAAATTTACTTTAGAAAAGACATTTAATATGTTTTCACTTTGGAGCCCAATTTTAGGGCTTACTTCACGACAGAGTGTTGCGTTCCATAAATTCTCTTCGAGATAATTCTTGTTTACGAGTAAATGCTCGCCGCCGCGGCTCTCTGTTGGCGGAGATATGTACTGCTCGCTCGCTAGCGATTTTCGTGAAATATACAAAGAGGTTGTATAAATCGAGTAGGGGAGCCAGCTCAGGTTGCATGAGCGAATAGAAAGTGACCAAAACCGAGAGGATCATCAGCATTTTTATTTAATCGCGCATGCGCCGTTGATTTTCACTGTTACGTGGGGAGATTTCAGGAGAGCAATATATCTATATATATCGATGCCGCCTCACTCAGTTTTCAAAGTTCGATGGGCGCGCAACATATTAGACAAAGATAAAGATGGCCCTTCCGTATCATTTTCCTTTCTACTGTCTGACATTTTTATTTACAGGGATCCCTATACTTTGACTACTCTATGTATACAATCTCTTTGGAAATATACAAGTGATATTGTCACAATATTCTGAACATTTCTTCGACATTTGCACATTCTGTGACGGTTCTTTTATTGTTTCGGAACATTCAGTACATTGGTAATACGAATTGAACTTTCTGTGAATATTTAAAGTTAGCTTGGAAGGAACAAAATTGTCGCGTACGTAAAACGGCGGAACGTCAGTGTTTGATCGGATCCTTCGATACGCGAATGCGCGTCATGGGATGGCACCCTTTGGCTGCGTTCCACTTAACGCTCGCGTGCATCGTTTGTCCTTGTTTAACATTTGATAAACGACAAGGATGAAATGATTCCACGAGCGTTGTGAACGTTAAGTCCGGATCTACAATAGGTATTTTAAGACTTTAGTCATAAGAAACTGACCAATTACAGTCGAATCCGAGGGGAAAAATCGATTGTGATTCGCCTATTCCTTATGGCTTAAGGCTTAAAATCCTATTGTAGATCCAGGATAAGTGGAACGCACCCCATATGATATATACTTCCAACTTTTCCCGCAACAGCACTAAAATAGCATTGTCCCGATTTTCCATAGGTTTTCCGAAGTCACGTTTCGAGCCCATGTTTCATGTTTGAACTCTTTCTTTCTGCTTCCTTTGTTTCCGTGAAACAGACGCGATTGAAAGTAAGTAGTATCAATTGTTTGCATAATATTTGGCTGCGTTCAGCAGACTCAACAGTTTTGCAACCGTTTTATGATTGTCTGCTGAGATAGGACCATTCTTCTAGACCTACAAGTATGATCCAATCAGCGCGAAGGAAACTTCCAACAGTTACAAAACGAACGTTCTGCTGAACGCAGCCATTGTTTCAGCCAACATATTTATTGCACTGGTGGTTTTAGAATGGAAAATATGGGTGAAAGAAATGTGAAATCACATGAAACAATAATATTGATTCTTAAGGAAGATCAATTTTTAGTCGACAAACAAATACTAATCAGCAAAAGCCAGTATTTTGCTGCACTTCTGTCTGAAAACTTTTTAGAACATCGCCAGAGAGTACACGTTATTGAGTATGATATTTCTTGGATTTCGATGCAGGTTTGTTGATTGCAGCAGAAATAAGTCTTGTTCATAATTAAGAATTATTAAGTAAAAACTTGTTTTCTTTACTTTTTAAGTAACAATTTTTTTAAATGAAATGAATTTTTAAATATACATAGATCGCTACGAAAGTTTTCCCATAAGCGATATTTATCATATAGGTATTTGTAACATGGATTAAGTTTACACGGCTCGATTTACGCCGCAGTTATAACATCGATATTATGAAACTGGCCAATCATAGCTGTTCCTCTGAAGAATGAAATGACTCTGATAGGCCAGTTTCCTAACATCGATGTTATAACTTCGGTAACTTAATCCGTGTAAACGTAGTCATAACAGATAAAACTTGTAGGTAGGGAGGGGACAAGCCATATATTTCTGCTCAGCATATTTACGAAAAAAACAGCAAGTAAACATCAAAGAATAGCGACGTAAGTCGTAGACGAAGCAAGAATATCGCGCAATCATTCGTTGTAACGTTACACACAGTTTAAATGTAAACGAATATTTTGAAGAAATATCTTCCCCAATAAGGAAACTACATTAGTCTATATAGAGTCCTAGATAAATAGGGATTTATCATAAAAAGATATGGTCTGATTGGCTACTTAAAGAATATATTATAATATGATTATGATTGAATACGCAGCGACAGAAAATAAAAAATGTCATGTCCGAGAGACTAGACCCTTGTATCTCTATAATACTTTGAGGCGTTCAAACCGAATATAATGATTTTAGAATTGCGCTATAGGTCAGGATTTTTTCCTAACCTCAAAAAATTGCCAAACCTTAAAATTACACTTTTCAGTCCGGGATTTCTTTGTCTCAACATCGATAATGTTATGCAAGTGTTTCTTACGTATTTCAAAATGCAAAAATAATAATAAATAGGCTCTCAAACCTAAATATCCAAGCTCACGGAATCCAGAGAAAGCTCAGGGGTTAACAACTTTTCTTGATGTTCAAATAAAAAATCTTACATCTTGCTCTTATTATATAGCGCATTCTTTTGTTCTCAAAACTTCTTCACGATGACATTCACTTTCGTTTCGTTCTTTTTCTTGATAAATCTTCTTTCAATGACCAACAGTAATCAGCCATCATAATTACATCCCACCTCCGATGATATCTATGTTCCATTTCTTTTATATCTTGATGAAATCCCGGATAACAAAGCGTGTCTCAGCAAGATCGCACAAATCTGTGATTGCTTATGATGCTGGCAACTTGCCATAGATTTGTCTTCAACTAGATTTCGAATATACCGACATTGTAGCAACATGCAAGTAACAATGTGTATTTGTATTGCCAGCAGTTTAACAGCAAGATAGGTGCATCATTGTTATGTTGCGTTGTCAGAAATATGACGGCATTGTATGATGATGCATATTATTATGGCAACATGAAGGCAGTGGCACGAATTTTGATGATGACGATTTTAAAGTTGTAGGCAAACTGCTGGCAAATTGCTACTCAAAATTATTATATCGTGAAGGCATCAAGTTGCCAACAAATGAGAACTCAGTTGCTACAATTCTGCTAGCTACATATGCTTAGCAATGCATACTTAGCAAGCAACATCCCAGCTACAAGACAGACACGTTGCCATCTGGGATTGTGAGCACTTCGAAATACGTAAGAGAAATTAACATAAATTAACATTTTCGATGTTGAGTTACAGAAAGATTCCGCTGAATGGTAGATCTTTGCAGGATGTTTTTAGGATGTTTCGCAATTTTTTGAGATTAGAAAAAATCTGACCTGATGGCGCAGTTATGAGGTTATAGGGTCTGAGCCTTAGAAGCCTTTTCAGCATTAGCCTTTTGCCACAAACACCACGAATGTTTTCCGGGCGGGCACTTGTCGTGCTGCGATTTTTTGTATGTCGATAGTTTGTGGTAGTGTTCCCCAGATTGCATTTCTCATTTTCTCTACGGAATCATGATTCCGGCGCATTGCTAATCCATAATAAATAGATAGTTCATCTATAAGTTTGCCAGTCAATTTTCCCTTTCCGCCAAGACCTATTATAAGTTTTTTTAAATTTCGAAGACGTGTACCCATTCGCTTCTGGACGTCATAGATGCATCTTTTTTGAAAATTTCCTTATTTTTGGCAATTTGTACTTCGAAAAGGCCTTTGAAAGTCTTTGACTCCAAGTAAGACCGTTACAATAGCTAGAAACTCGGAGCGCCTCACAAATCGGATTATCGATCGAACGGTAACGCACCGTAAAGAGACAGTTTCGGTTTCGAAATAAGTACTTAAAAATTTTTCCGACGAGAACAAGTGTACCTCATTTTTAAGACTCTAAGGCATCAATTAAACGCAAAGAATTCGATTTTTTTTAATTCTAGAGTGGCGCTACCCCTTAAAAAAATATGTATGCAAAATGGATAATTTTTTAAATAAGCAGCTATGTATTTTCTTTACACCAATTAACATATAATTATCTAAAAATATCTCGTAAATTATTAATTTTTTTATGTCTCTACCTTAATACCTTCATATGCAGAATAATTACGGAATTATATTACGTCAAAAGATTATACAACTTCATTTAAAAAATGGAGGTGATGTTCATATCTTTTTGGCATCTCCACTTAGAAGAAAGACTACATGACCAAAATACGTGCCCCTTGAAATCTTGAAACCACTTTCATTTGAAATATTTTTTCCTATCCTAAAAACTAAGCGAGATATTTCAGATGCTGGAGTAGATCAAACACCCTGTATATTTAAACCGTGTATGCATCTAATGGCGAATTCGATTGAAAGCACTGGTGCATATTAAAGCCATTGTACATTGATTTATTTTGAATATAAAAGTGAAATATAAATATTTCGAATTATAAAATATATATTTTACCTAACAGTACAATAAAGTGTATTGAGTATTTCAGGATTTAATCGATTTCTATGTTTATATATAAAGATATCTTTACGTTATTTTGTGTACGACGGCTTTAATGTGCACCAGTGCGCATTGAGTGCGTTCAATCGAATTCGCTATTATATTACGGCAAATACTCTTTTTCGCAATGTTCTTCCTTCACAATAATCTTTCTTTGTACATGTTATCATTTTTTATGTTTAGTTGCTGTCTTCTTACGAGTGTGCTGCGCATAAAAATTAGCTCTCTTATTCTACATACCTTATTTGTTATGTTATATCTAATGTCATAAATACCTATTTGCTTCTTCCAATAAACATCGCGTAATAAAAACTTTCATAAACACACTTATGTATAAAAAAATTCATCGAATTTATCGATCGATAGATCTCATTTCATTATACAGCCACACACCTTAAAGAAATAATTATTATAGGATTTCATTGATTGGATTTACAATGACAAAATTAATATCTCTGCTATTAAGTATTATGATATTGCGGAAATTGATCGTCTTGTGAATCTATTGGAATTGGGCAGACTATTTGCAGCAGACAAATTAATAGAAGACGTAACCGAAAGACTTGAGGAATATTATATGTCACCAGAAAATGCCATTAAATTATGGATAACAGCACAAAATTTGAGTATCAATGTGCTACGAGATATTTCTTTGGCTATTTGCCTGGATCGTTTTGATGAACTGCCGCTTCAATCAATTATAAATCTAACAAAAGAAAATTTTCTGAAGTTAATTGGAAACAATAATATAAGTTCTACGGAATCTCATTTGCTTCATATTACAAATGAATGGATGAACCATCATAATGTAATTATCTTTAGATATAAAACTTACATTATCCCAATAAATAGAATTTCAAAATTGAAATTATTAATTTTTAGAGTAATACAGAAACTATGCCTTTATCTTCGTTATTTAAAATTGAAAATGGAACTGATTATTATTTGATAATTATTTGTACCATAAAATTTGATTTATCGCACAACCGCGTTTCAAACTCGCATTGTTCATCGAGTTGTATGTGAACGCGTTGTGTGTGTGTAGTTGTATTTATATTAATAAGTCAAACAAATAAATTTGTTTAATCATACTATTTTGTTTTCTTAATATACTAGTATATTCTATTGTACAGTAATATATTACGATTCTATGTATAGTAAGATCTCTTCTTTTTTGCAGGATTTTACAATTCCTTTAGATATTATAAAAAATAAGAAAAAAAAAATTTTAAATTGTATTATATCTTGTGAGGGTAGTGACATTATTAACAGTGAGCAATTTATTCATTGCTGGGACGGTAACGAATTCTTTGAACTTACTTCATTCAAATATCCCAAAGATATTATCGATTGTAGCACTGATGAAAAGACTGCATTAAAAGGAATGGAGATTATTGGAAGAAGTATGTAGTTTGTTTGATTTTATATTCTGGCTTTTTTAAAATAATATTATCCTATTTATTAATTATTTTATATGATGTTTTTAGAAAACAATTTATATCTTTGTGGTGGAGAATTTGGTATTAACTCAGGCAAGTTTAACAAAAACATTTGGCGTTATTCTCTGATATCTAAGAAATGGTTCCTTGAGACAGGGTAAATATCCTAACGATTAAGTAAACGATAAGAGTAATAAAATAATGAAAATGTTATTTATAAAATTCGATAATGTTTTTTATTAAAATTTATAAATATTTTAGTATGCCAAGTGAAAGAAGAAACATGATCGCTGTATTTTTGAAAAATAAATTAGTGCTTGTGGGTGGTGTGGGACGGGATAAACAATTTCTGCGTAGTGTTGATATCTATGACATCTATACAGGTAATTTTAATTATGCAGCTACACAATTCATTAATCTAATATCTATGAAAAGTATACATGAAATAATTCACTTGAGTTTATCCATAACGATTCCAAACAAAGGTGATTATATATAATATTTGATAATGTAATGATTGTTTATCGTAGGATTATTTTTCATAAAATTTATAGCTTTTACAAGCTTTTTATACCTTTTAAATTTATACTTTTTTTTATTGATAACTTTTTTATAGCTTTTATTGAAAAAAATATTATTTTGTTATATTTAATTTTATTTTTGTATGTATAATAATAATCATCGTCGCATAGGTAGACATCGATTGCAACAGCATCTTTAGATTTCATTAGTGTTTCTAAATATTTTTCTTTTAATGGCACAGGTTTGTGGACATTTGGTGCGAAAATGGGTAATGATTTGGAATTTCACAGTGCTCCCGAATATTATGTTTGTAATGGAAAATTAATTATAAATCGATACATGTGTATTGACTGTGATATGGGTAAGTAAAATATTAGAAGATAATCGACAGATTGGTCGTAGATTTTATCAGCAGACTGACATTGTCAGATATTATGATTCTCTGTGAAGTTTGTTACCCTTCTGCCGTCAAAAATTTAAATGAATTCTAATCAAAGTCTATTTCTGCAGAGTTTAATGTCATGCTTATATCTTATTGTCCTGTTGAAAACGTATGGGAAAAAAGGAATGGTATTGAAGATTTGAAATTTATGTATCCCATAGATAATAATCCAATATTAGAGCTTAAATCTCTTCCATGTTACATTGGTAAATATTATAATTCATGTACTATAGAAATGTTAAAGAAATTTTAAAATTTATATTTGCGTGGTTTGCAGATACTTCTGATCCGGATAACATGATTTTAAGAGCTCTCACAACATTCCATAAAGAATGTAAACATGAACAGAGTATTACACGTGTCGTACTTGGTATTGTACGTAGGGGTTTAGAATTTCATTTCGAATACGATGGTAGGCCTCTCCATATGCCAACGTGCATTTCAATATGTCCACCATGTACCGAATGCGGCCAAGATCTATTAACATTTATAGATACGACAGTTTCTTCTGACACAGTACACTTGCTTAATATTCCTATAAAAAATTCAAACAAATTTCGTTCCCTTCTATTTTCTCATTCACCCATGAGATTTTTTAACCTAATTCATCCAGCGCACTTGCATACAACAAACTTGAATAATTGATTGACGTAAATCTTCATTGATTAAATAAAAATATATATCTAAATAATAATCCAGAAAAATATGGTAATGTTGCAAAAACATTCCAAAGAATGAACAGATAGAACATATATATATTAAAAAAGAGAATGTCATATCAGCTTCCCGTGAAAAATGTTTCATATATAATTATATACATAATTATATAAAATTATATACAATTACATAAAAAATTTACATATTTTATACCCTATTATATGTAATTATATATGAAATATGTCCATATATATATATATATAAAACATTTTTTTCCGAGCTTTTATTTGCCGCGACATTTTTCATTGATTGTCATATCTCTTTAATCATTATGAAGTATCAAATGACGTATTTAATAATTGTATAAGCTTTGTCTCTATGTGTACGACATACAAATACTTGTATGTATGTATTTTATAATAAAATACATAAATGTATGTGTGTGAATATCTTCTATTGTTTTCTCTTTAAATTTTTTGGAGTGAAACCTACTTCAAACGAATGAAATCTCATTTCAAAGAATTGAGAGTGTACCGACATTTTTTTAAATCATAGTGTGTGTGATTCTATAGATTTCGAACTTTGTGAGAAAGATAATGATATATATAATTATATAGCTTCCCCGACCTTTGTTTCGTCACAGTCATAATTTTTACGGAAAAAGATTGGGTAAATTTCATAATCCAATCTCCGCTTTGTAGAATCCCTAAAGAAATCTTTTTAAAAAAAGAAGGAACATACGCCAAGTGCATAAAAGTACATTCTTCTTAATCAAAAACGGATATGAAATAAAAGTAATTAGACGATTAATTCATTACGCAAGACACATAAGACTGAAAATGACTAAAATTGTCAATATATTGATATAAAATTGTCAACGGATTGTAGTAAAGAAGATACTTGGCGTACTCGGGTCGCATTAAAACGCAATATTGTAGGACCAATACGTTTTCATAATACAGAAATTGTTTGCAATATGAATTAATAAAAAGGTTATTATACGTACCATACAATATTCTGCAGATATACGCATAGATGAAAACAATAATTCAACAAAGAAAAGACGTCAATAATTGCTTACTAATCTTGTAAATTCATTATTTATAATGTTTCTATATTTAAATATTATCTATATTATTACATATTATTCGTCCATAATTTTACGTCTATTATTGTGAGTATATTATCATGTCCCACAAATTATGTCACTATATATTATAATTTATAATGCAAATACTGTGTTGAAATAACATATTCAAAGAAGTACAATTAATGTTATCCAGGGGGGCACGCCAAGTTTTTTCTTCACTAGTTCACTATAATCCATTGACAATATTATATTAGTATATTGACAATTTTAATTACTTTCAGTCTATCTTATGTGTCTTGATTAATGAAATAATTAGCTAATTACATTTATTTCATATCCGTTTTTTGATTAAGAAGAATGTACTTTTATGTATATATATACTTGTATATTTTTTTTAAAAAAAGGTTTTTTGTAAATTTTTTAAAATGTAATAATGTAGAATTTTAGACATTGTCCGGCGACGTCTTTGTCGTCGTCCGTCGTTGTTCGCACACGAGCACTCCCCCCTCTCCCTGCCTTCCTTTGTCTCTCTCTCTCTCTCTCTCTCTCTCTCTCTCTCGCGCGCGCGCGCGCGCGTGCGTGAGAATCCTCTCCATATTGTTTGCCTGTCTCATGTATATAAATTACACCTATATACGCGTTAAGATTCACTTTTGTTGCTAATTTTATTTTAATTTTGTATTAAAATTAAAATTGTATTGTGAAAAGCAGCAAATCTCCGAATTTACTGAATAGAATCAAAAATCCTTTTACAGGATTAAAGTAGACGCAAAATTTGAAAGTGCAGCAATAGACTTTATACTAAAATCGGGAAAAAAAAATTAAAAACTTACATTTTTTCAACTTGCAGAGCTGTCGCCTGACATAGATGTCTCCTTAATACAAAAGTTTTATAGCTCGTATCTCAGGAAGAAACGCGAGACCGTATAGACATCTATTAGACGTCGGAGATGTCTACGTCTAACACAATATCTAGAAATATTAAATTTAGACGTCTAAAATAACGTCTAGGAATATTAAATTTAGACTGCAGGTGATTTTGTATTATTGTGTTTCATTAGACTTGAAAAAACCTAATATTGACACAATAGAAAACAGGGTCGATTGTAGTTGCGTTCCAAGAACTACTACCACTAAAAGTCTATAATTTACGTTAATACGTATACTATAGATTTTCAGTATTGGCAGTGAAATTCGATATGTAATTAATACGTGTAATTAATCTCGGGCGATAGAAAACGAAAACCTGAATAAGAAACAAAAAGACAAGTAGTAAAAAATAACAAAAAGCAAGGAACAAAAAGCACATTGTAGAATAACCATTTAACACTACGGGCGGTATTCATAGTCAGTTCTTATATTTAAGATCGTCTTAAACTCTGTCTTGAGGTGTCACGAACCAATCAGAGGACCGCATTGGCATCTTAAGACATTACTTAAGACGATCTTTAAATAAGAATCGACTATGAATACCGGCCTACGTGTATTAAATTGTATACACGGAGACATAAATTCTGGCCTAGCCATCCAAAGTTGCTTATCGGAAAAGATGTAATAAGAAGACGAATTAATGAGAAGTGAAAAAAGAATGAAAAGGCATGAAAAGACATGACTATGGGCATTTGTGTCTCCATACGTACAAACATTTTATATTTACAAGCTGTATAATATAATTTATAGTTAAAAAAAAATTGTATTGAAAATTTTTAAAACGCATTTTAAAGGTGACGATACTTCATATTAAAGTTGCGTTCGGAAACATCACCCGTGTATCATCTTATCCTTATTTAACATTGGGTGAATAACAAGGATAAATGGATACACGGAGGCACTCGGGTGATGTTTCCGAACGCAGCCGAGATAAAGCTGGTGGTAGCTTCGCGAATTTGGTAACAACACGAACATATACGCAATGACATTCACACGTCAAACGATCAAGCGACTCGTTTTATATTTTTATGCACTTGGCGTCGCTATACTGCGTCGCTTGATCTTGCTTTGTTTTGATTTATTCTTATTTGGAAGCTTTACTTACTACCAAAGGATATTGCAAGTCCCAGTTGAGAATCTTAAGATTTAAGTTTATTATATTTTTATTATTTATTTTGTGGATACTTGGTATCTGTCAAAATCGAATATTTTCTTATTAAAAAAATTCTTATATTTATACGCGAGGTGATAATTCTGGAAATCGTTTACTGGACGAACGATTAGCTTAGCATTGAATTATCCAGCATTCCATTATACGATTTTTACACTACAATATGTTAAATATATATAGGATATCCCATATATTTCAATCAACGTATCTCCGAAATCATGTAAAATGTAAGATGTCGAAATTTTGTTTTATATGGATATATTTTTAAAAAATTATGTAGTTCCATTTGAGAACATAAATTTAACCTTTATCTCACTTTGACGATTTATCCAAAGTCGAAATCTTTTCGAAGTATGTCCCCTTCGATAACATACAACCACATAAAAACAGGATTTTAATTATATCTCGTATGGTTCAGAGAAATTTAAGTATGTTAATTAACTTTGGACATTCTTTTTATTTTTCTCATTATTTCCGTTATCAATAAACGTAAAGCATGTTCCTTTTATCGTTGATATATCTGATATAAATAGAAACTCGAAAACGAGCGTGAAAAAAAAATTAATAAAAATTACACTGACGACCTATGCCAGTAGGATAGGAGGGTGTAATAACTATGAAAACAAGCTCATTTTTAATTATGTTTCATTTTATCGTAAATTTTCTGACGGAAGCAGTCTTCAAACAAGTAAAACACGATGGTGCGTACCATTAACATGGAATAAGTGGGCACATCGCGACTATTGCGTAAAAATATTTGCGTACTCATTCTAACGCCATCGAAGAATTTTCCTGGCGAGATTCTTGGATAGTGATACTAAAAACGTATGTTCGGATATTTGAGGATGCTGGCAATCTCACCGAGAAAATCGCGTTCGCGGGCGTCGCGCGATATCCTACATAATATTCCGTTTCTTTTTCTTCGGACACTACCGCGATGTGCCTGTTAAGTAGCTGCGTGTACTCGAGTGTGTGCCGAGTCGTATAATACAGCAAAGCCGAATATTTTAGTGTAGTAAGTTGCGCGTGCTATCCGTAATGTGTGCGGAGACGGTGAATTCGGATTCTCGTCATGACAACGAGCCGCGTCCCAACAATTTTCGCGGATAATGCGACATCATAACAAACATACAGAAAGAAAAAAATATAGTGTTCCAAAATAATTTACATACAGAACGTAAGAGAGAGAAACAGAGAGAGATTAATATTAGTCTTCCAGTTCTCTCTTCCTTTCTGTATAGAGAAATCATCATATACTCTAAAAATGTTTATTATGGCCAAGCCGCTCCGGCTCGATTATTCGATCGTATCGCGTGCATTCCGATTAAATTTAGCGAAAGCTCAGAGAAAGATCAGAGTGTTGAAGATACAGTAATGATCGGCCAGAGATCGTTACGGCATCCACGAGTCGAACACGTATGAGAGCGGATGAGATACACTCTTTTTGGAGAACATATTTGGATAAATAGATTCATCAAGATACATACGTACTCTTCAATATTCACGAAATAATTCAGAATATAATATGTTCTCCACGAAGAATATATCAGAGATGCTCTCATTTTGTTGTCGACCGCGCTGATAATCGATGTATAACCCGGTATCAAGTTTGATTTCACAGCTCGCCGGGATTGACGACGTTAAGGGCAAACGCAGAGTTCGTTTCGCCTTTCTGACCGATCGCACGCGCCAAATATTGACCAACATCGCTGGCCGTGCACGTTTTAATGCCAAATTCGAAGGACGTGCTGCCGTCCGAGCTGAAGTGGTATCTGCTGCTCGTCTCGGGGATCGCCTTGCCATCTTTCAACCAAGTCACTGAAAAATTCATAATGTTATTAACAACAATTTAGCAGCTTAACCGAGAATAGAAAGACAGAGAGGGGAATTATAAAAAATTACTTCAATTATTGAATTACTATTACAATTCTTATTCTATTACATATTTATTTAAAATATTATTATAAAAATTTAGTACCTTTCAAAGGCGCGGTATCAGTCTTGCACGTGAAAGTAACCGACTCGCCTTCACTCACTGTTGCAGATTGTGGGAATGTCGCGAACGCTGGGCTTTTCGGCTCTTCGTTTGGAGCTGGAAAAAATGTAGATGAAAATTAAAATGCAGTTCGTCGAATGCGGATTTTTAAACGATTAATAATCATTAATAATTTCTTACCGAGTACGCTTAACGTGCACGACGAGTAGCTCTCTCCCGCGTCGTTGAAAGCTTCGCACGTGTAAGTGCCGGAGTCCTCGGGGAATATCTCGGCGATGATTAGCTTGTAGATGTTAGCTTCACTAGTGTACTGGAAGTCTTTACTAGGCTTGATCTCTTTGTTATTATGCAGCCATACTACATCAAACTTCTTCGCACCGATTATCCGGCAGCTAAGTGTCACAGCCTCGCCGTCTTTTACGTACTTGCTCGTTAGGTGATCGACGATCTTCGGCGATTTATCGTCGCTCTGTTTTTTCCGGGCGGCGTTCTCCACGGCTAAAAAGAGAAGTTGGACTAAGCGACATGTCTTTTGTAATTATTTTCTGATAAAATATAAATACGATAATAAAAATAGCAAAAATTAAAATAAACAATAAAATTAAATTATCTCCACATAAGCAGATTGAATAAAACTATATTTGTGAATTAATATTTTTATTAGATTAACGGTTGATAACAATTGCGGATACTCTTACGTTTTACAGTCAGTTTGCAGGATGTCGTGTCGCTGCCGATGCTATTAGTCGCAAGACACGCGTATTCGCCTTCGTCCTCAGGGAATACCTCGTTGATCGTGAGAGTGGCCACGCCGTTCTTATATTTGAGATCGACAATCTCTGATGAACTCAGCGTCTATAAGAAAATTTTATCACACACATAATAATCGCTAATAGAAATATATCTTCACACATGATTTTAGTGCATTTTTTGAAAATAATTATCACCATCCTCTCTCTTTTCTTACTATACTCATTAAATTACACAATTCTATACATTAATTTAATTTAAAAGTTAGATTTTAATAATAGCAAGTAGATTTCAAACTTATGCGTCTACCTTGCCGTCTTTACTCCAAGTAATTTGCGGCTCCGGATCGCCGTCGACTTTAGCTGTAAGTTCCAGATGTTCGCCATCGTTGATCGTGAGATTCTTTAACTTTTGAGTAAATTGCGGCGATCTCATCGAATCGTCTGAGGGTACTTCAATATATACATTAAGATTAAATAAATTTTATATTAAATAATTTAACTATTCAAAATCTATTAAAACAATATGCTTACAGATGAGTTCTTTTGTGGTGCTTCTTGATCGAGACGGACTGCCAGTAGTGTCGAGTTTCGAGCCGTATTTCTTTATGCTTCGTTTATCAGATGATTCGTTTATTTTGACACTGGAGCTGTCCTACAATTGTATAAAAAAAATGTCGTATAAGTAATAGTATTTTATTTTTAATCGTAACCTTATTTTGAAGAGATACCTTATATGAGGAGATCGTGGAATTATGTTTGCCATTGTACAAAGAGCTTGATTGGCTTTGAGTTGTGGAACTGTAGCCGCTGTAACCACTGGACTTGTGAACTGTTACGATCGGCGGTGGTGCCGGTTTCAGTGGTTGCTCGATGAATTTTCGATCTTAGAACATAATCACTTGTTATGAACGAGTGACATATATTCAAATATAATTATATATGTTTTGTCATAAAATTTACGTAATTTCATTACAAAAAGCAGTCTATAAAAGAAACTAAACAAGCTAAAAAATAATCGGGAAAGTTAATTCAACATGAGGTGTGTATGTAGGATGTAAAAATGAAACGAATAGATATATAA